GCCTAAAAAGAAAAGCTGGTGGGAATTGTGTTGGTTTCAAACAAATGAATAAATTAACAAGCTAATTTATAATATGCTTAGACTATCATTTTTTTTCATTAGCCACACTTTATTCTGTGTGTGTGGTTACTATGACCCAGATGTGTAGCCAATGAAATAAAATGCTTAAACATTAAAATGTAAGGTTTAGAAAATTTAAGTATAGAAAATAAAATTCAGAGGGAGAGACAGTACTGTAACTGCAGACCAGGGTTTTGTTGCATTGTGAATTATATTTTTCCACACTATAAGCTATGCAGTGCAACAACTAACAATTTTTCTTTTGAAATAAATAGCCAGTCAAAGCACGGCACATCCCATTATTATGATATTAGCTTATAATAATAATTGTCAGGAATCCTTCTGGACTGTCAGATTCATTCACTGCACCTGAACAGCCCCAATCACCAGACTAATCACTAATCACCTTCACCTGTTGCTCATCACTGCTCACACTACATAAGCCTGGAACACTCACTCATTTATGGTTTGATTTATTTGTTATTAGCCAGACTTATTTCTCTTCGGTGTGACAGCATTTACCTGACGATGTAGCATGCCTACCTGCCTGCTCACCAGTGTCATCCTGTCTGTTATCTTGTCCTGTGAATCCTGTACTGTTTACCTCGACTGGCATCATCTTGTTTTTGTTACAACCCGAAGTTAAGTTCTGTTTGTTTGTCTTCTTTTTGTTGGTATTGGTTATTTCTTTTCTGAACAACCTCAACATTGTTTTAAGTATCATTAAATATCCATTCTCTGTTAATCTGCCTTTGTCTTCTCTCTGATGCGTAATAATAATAATAATATTATTAATAATAATAATAATAATAATAGTTTGTGTTTTATTTTTGTTATTCATAATATTAGACATTTGTTTGGACTGTGCTCTTTTCAAGCAGCATTTTTTTCATTCTGCAGGCTGTTCGCTCTAGCAGTTGGTCAAATATTTGTTAGTTAGCCTATCATAAAGCAGAGTTATTCTGCAATCAGGTTATGTGCTCCATCAGGCTTATCATAATATTAATATCTTGTAGTGTGCTGTGCCACAGTTTTCTGGTCTTGGAGTGTGCGCACGTTTAAGGTTTGTGTGTGCTGTAACCAGATTTCATTATTGTTTACGATTTTAAAACTCCTACAGCAGGTGAGGAGAAAATGAAAGCACATTAGAACAAGGAAAAATCAGATACTTATGAAAATCTTTAACATAATGACAAATTAAAAATGTAGCAAACAAATGACGGGCTTGTAACCCAATTATAGTGTAACATTAAATAAACCCCTATTTCCCACAGAACAAAAATCTATTTATGGGCAGGAACAAAAACTTTGTTCCTGCCCATAAATATACACTTTTATAAAAGGATATACACTTATATCTTTCTTGGAAAATATATCTTTTTGAAACTCATTTGATATAATTTGTATCTTTATTTTAATGTATTTTTGTTGGTCTGTTTTCTGCAAAATAAGCAAGAAGAAAATAGCTGAAGTGCACAAGTCAGCTATATGCTTGTATGCTTTAACACAATTTGTTATATAATGTGCAATATTTACAGTTCTAGAGAAGCCCGTTTTAATTTTTAATGACATTATCATTCATCGCGCTGATCACTTTAAATGAGCCAGGGCAGGCTTTACAGGCTATTTGCAGCGCTGACCTTGTTCCCAGATCACTTCGGAAGAATGAACTTGGTTGGATGAATGATAGAAGTAAGAAACTCATTGTGAGAAAGAAGATGCTCTGTGCATGCCTGACCACAATTTTTTTTGTTTTTGAGAGAGAGTGTACATGCCGAATTTTGCCAGCCTGTCAAAATGAAAAATTGCTTGCAGCACCTTAATATTTATAATATAACTATAAGAAATAAGACTTATGACTCCAGAAGAATTTGTTTTATTGATACTGTGGCATAATAATACTGTGAAATTGTCCTTGGTTAGTTAAAGATAATGTGGGAAATATTACTTTAAATTCACTTAATTTTGAATTGACTTAAACTGCATGTGTTACCCACTACATTGCAAAGTTACTTGTCAAATTACCATGGACCATTAATTTGAGATTAAATTCTTTCATTAGCTTGTTTATGAAAACTGCATGCATGAAAAAAATGACATTCAGTTAAAGATTCAATAGCTGAAATATAAAAAATTAATAAAAAAAGTTTTATTAGATTAATCTTCTTTAGAGAATTGTTACACATTTAAATGGTGAGTTGTCGCCATCTATTGTCGTTATGTCATTGCTACAGATTTATTTAGTCATATTTTGAATTAATAAATCATTATTTCGACTTTTTGTCTTGTAATTTTAATTTAGTATATCATAACTTGGGCTTTTCTCAACAGGCAGAAGGGAGCTTAATTACAGTTTTATCAAAACTTGTCAATTATTTATTGTCAATTGTTTGCACACAAGAATGTTTGGTCTTGGTGATTTGGAGTTTCCAGTACAGAGACCAAAAGTATATAGTGTAAAGTTTTGCAAACAATAAATGTATAAAAAGATCAGATAAAAAAAACTCTAAGTGCCATCTAGAAATCACCAAATCAGACATAAGAAGACTGCAGTGGACTATCAGGACAGCGGAGAGGATTAGTGCACCTGCCCAACCTCCAGATCTCTACATATCTTTCTCTATACATCTTTATTATTAGATTAGTTGCTTCCTGTTTTAGTCATACATATACACAACCCTTACTGTATATGATTTTGTATCCAAAATGTTTTATTATTTACTTTATCCACTTATGTCATTCTGTGTTCTTGTGTTGATTTGTATGTATATACTGTATGTATATGTGCTTCTATATGTGCTTCTGGCAAAAAAAAAACACCTTGTGTGTTTGCAGATACTTGTCAAATAAATCTCATTCTGATTTCTCTGGACACATATTTCAAAGAAATCTCAGCAGCTGAATAACAAACATTATTATTATACATTATTATGCCATCAAACATAACATAACTGAAGATGTCTGGCCTTTCATAATACTAAATATCTGCTGCAGATCATTGACTGCAAAACATTTATTGTGATTTAAGTGAAATTACATTATACATATAATAAGTTGGTTAATTGGAGAAATTAGTAAATGATATCACCTTAAAATGAGACTAGTTTAAAAAAAGACGTGTTAACACGTAAATTGCGTGTTAACACGTAAATGACGTGTTAACACGTACCAACGTGTTAACGCGTAAATTACGTGTTAACGCGTAAATTACGTGTTAACACGCAATTACGCGTTAACACGTTTGTTGCAGACGTTTTGGCCCCAACGGCCTTCCATACTCAGCGCTCGCCATGACAACGAGACAACAGTGACGTGCCTTGTAAAAATTTGCATATGCATTCCTATAAAGCTCGTGTGCTCTCAGTCAGCGTTGTCAGTTCGCCCGGTGTAGCTGTTTGTACTTGACCAAGGTGAGTTCAATACCGACGGTACGAGTGGAGCTACGCCAAACTCACGAAGTCCGCTTCGTGATGCTTCACCCGGGCCCGTCTGTGCTGTAGTTCCTTGCGGTTTGCGTACATAAACGCAATATCGCGAAGAATATTACGTGTTTGTTGCTCGAAATGTGCCGCCGAGCAACATCCAGTGAATACTGGCACGGCCTGGCGCCCGGTCTTTTCCGTGCACTCCCTGGGGCGAGGCGGCCTTTGAGCCCTAGGCAGGGAACAAACAACCCCCGAGGACCCTCATGGAAACACGGGGGGCCGGTAGTGGGACCTCGCTGCGAGGGTTATGGTGGGTGGGAGTAGCGAGGCCCACTCATCTTCTATTTTAAACTATAGTTTCAAACTTTAGTTTACTATAGTTTGAAATAGAAACCATGATAACTGTTATGATTTAACTTTATGCAAAGAGCCTAGGATGACCAAGAGCAACAGATTCGGCCATTTTGAAGTGAAAGCGATCGCTCGTGCATTGGATATCATTGCTGTCGCAATGGCAAACAGCGGCTTTGTTTTTATTTAATGTATTCAAAAAGCGCGTTATTGTTTCCCAAATTGCACTAGAGTATCGCCTCTTGGTGATTCTATGCTCTCTGCTCTTTGTCTGAATGTTGTAATGTTTTGCTTTGTTTTTCAGATGAGTTGTTGAGCAAAGAAGGACTATTGAAGACAACAGTTGAAGACGACCGCGGGTCATCTTCACGAGCGCGCGCATCATGATGTTTTCGGTCTGTTTTCTGAGAGTTAGTCTTGTTTAGATAAGTTTTCAGGTCAAACAAAATAAACTATACTCTTCCTAAACACCTGTCTCGTGTTTTATTTGTCTTCTACAGCAATACACTGTCATTTAAGTCTGTTGAATGCATTTGTATGCAACATGGTTTGATAATACAGTAGTCTACAAATAAATAGTTGTTATAAATGTACCTTCAATAGTCAACATTTAGTGTAGGTAATCAAAAGTTAATCATATTTGTCCTAAGACATAAGAGTAATGTTATGGTTGTTACATACCTGTATTTATAATTATGCTGTATGTTTAAAACCAGCAGATTTACTATATATGTAACATGTCATGAAGTTACTGTTATTCAAAAAAATGCTTAAAATATCTTAAGACAAGAATGGGTGTTGTCATTGGTTTTATGTCAACCTACTGTAGGTTTTAGGGTGAATACAGCAGATATAGGCAACCTATATCATAATATTGGTAGTATGAGTTATTTAATGACCCAAATCAAGTAAAACGTCTCTTCCTCAAGCATGCAAAAGTCAAATATAGATATATATAAAACACAGTTTCCAACAATAAAATTTTGTCTTGTGAAAAAGACCAGTGGGGTTGGTAAGAAAAAAAGTTAATGTCAAGTTATATGTATTTATAAAATAAGTTCATAATAGTCATTAGATTATGTGACCGCTAGATGGCGCTCGTTTAAAAGAAGCGTTAATTTCAAAGGAGCGTTACCCTGTACTAAAATGGCGGATCTATTGACGCATTCCGTCCAAAACACAACATTAGGGTAGGCGACATTTAACGTATATATCTATGGACGCTAACTAGTATTCACGTATCATGCTCAACTCTTAATATTCTTTTACGCACTTTGAGAGTGTTTGCGTTATTTCAGAGAGATATTTAAGCACATATGAAGTAGCAGTGCCGTCTGTGTACTATAGTTACACAATGCAGCATTTAGCTCGCTCGTAAACATCGCTGCTGTCCTCAGATCATTGTCTGAGCAGAAGTTTCATCATAAGCCCTGACTGTCAGATGCTCTTCATCTCAGGAGCTGTATTTTTATATGCTTGATAACAGATATAAGGTGAGTTATGGCTGGAGTGGACGCTGCCTGACGGGCTTATATTAATTTTGGCATGACAGGAGAGAACAGGATACTTATGAGTGACAGATAGAGTCCACAAAAACTGCTCTCCGGTTGCATTTCATTTTATGAATATTATCTTTTAGAGCTTCAAGTCTTGCCTCAGGTTTTTCCCTCAGGTGATTCTCGTCAGATTTGTCGTCTTAGAAAGGTGACAAATGTTTAAGTTTAAGACATATACTTAAATTAATATAAGTACTGAAATAGCCTATAGTACCTTTGTATAAGATTTCAGGTAAATCGTAAACCCATATTATGAAATCATGATTGACTTATTGATTGACTCATTTAAATATATAATAAATAAACATAATTCAATTTCAATATTAAACATAAATTGCAAGAAAACCTAGCAAGATTACTAATACCTGCAGTAAACTACAATTAAAATAAAAAGTGAACATTGAATATTAGATGAAAGGCTTAACTTGAATAAGCAATCAGTTTTAAAATGATAAAGATCGCCATAGAAATATTGCTGTGTTGCATTTAATAAATATTACAAGAACATTAAAAGCCCATAAATAATGCAGATTTTTATTATTTGATCCCAAAGTCTGAACTGAACTGGCTGATGAGGCTCTGGATGCAAAGTTCATGTTTGCCTTTAATCTTTGACCTTTAAATTCCCATCCAGCAGTACAGTATGTTGTGTCAGTATAAATCTGGCTATAAAGCCTCATTGAACAATTTCCCAAAAGCCAGTGCAAGGTGTAAAGACAACTGAGAATTGACTGTGTTTGTTGTGGGGCTGTTTCGGTTGCTGTTGATAAGCTAATGTGTGTGTGTGGTGCATTTATTTGCATCTAAACTCTCTGTATGTGTTGTATTTTGGACCTCTGTATTTAAATGTGCTCTCTCTCCATAGACTGTAAAAGTCTCTCTCGCAGCATGTTTCCATCAGCCGTTTCGCTTGAATACGAATTGCTTTGTTTAATGGTTTCACACACACACACACACACACACACACACACACACACACACACACACACACACACACACACATATATATATACACTAATATATATATATATATATATATATATATATATATATATATATATATATATATATTTGGCTAGAAGAAAAACAGTTTTTAATTTTTTTTCAAACCATTTTAAGGTCAATGTTATTAGCCCTCTTAAGCAATATTTTTTGGATAGTCTACAGAACAAACCACTGTTATACAATGACTTGCCTAATTACCCTAACTTGCCTGAATAACCTAGTTAACCCTTTAAATCTCACTTTAAGCTGAATATTGAGAAATGTCTTGTCAAATAATATGGACTGTCTTCATGGCGTGTCATTATTATAAATGAGTTATTAAAACTATTATGTTCAGAAATGTGTTCAGAAAATCTGCTCTCCGTTAAACAGAAATTGGGGAAAAACATACAGTGGGGCTAATAAGTCAGGGGTGAATAATTCAGACTTTAACTGTACATCCAAACGAATATTTGCTGAATGTGAATTGAATGTCTTGATGTAGTTACCCTCTAGATCAGTTTGGAAATGTAAACAGTTTGCTGGTGTGACAGGCAGGATTGCAGAGTCGTGCTGTGCGGCGATCCTTCATTCACTCCGGACGGTCTCATTGACACTGATTACATTACAGCGATCCAGAGTTCAAGCCAATTGAAGGACAGAATCAAGTTTCAATTGGCCAAATTTTCTCGTTCATTTATCTCTTCCATGTTGGCTTTCGGGTCACTTTGTTTTTTTGTTTTTTTTTAACAGCCGGAAAAAAAATAAACAATATTTTTTCGTCTTGTTTACACTCACCGGCCACTTTATTAGGTACACCTTATTTAAATGCCTTTAGAACTGCCTTAATCCTTCATGGCATAGATTCAACAAGGTACTGGAAATATTCCTCAGAGATTTTGCTCCATATTGACATGATAGCATCACACAGCTGCTGCAGATTTGTCGGCTGCACATCCATGATGCGAATCTCCCGTTTCACCACATCCCAAAGGTGCTCTATTGGATTGAGATCTGATGACTGTGAAGGCCATTTGAGTACAGTGAACTCATTGTCATGTTCAAGAAACAAGTCTGAGATGATTCACGCTTTATGACATGGTGTGTTATCGCTGTTGTTAACACTGTTGTTATAAAGGAATGGACCACCACAACCAGCCTGAACTGTTGATACAAGGCAGGATGGATCCCTGCTTCGTGTTGTTGTCGCCAAATTCTGACCCGGCCATCCGAATGTCACAGCAGAAATAAAGACTTATTAGACCAGCGAACGTTTTTCCAATCTTGATAACGTTCACTCCGTTAACGAGCAGTTGAACAGGTGTACCTAATAAAGTGGCCAGTGAGGGTATGTGTGTGTGTATTGACTTTACTAGTTTTCTCTGCGACACTCATTGCTCCAGAAACTTGCCATGGGCCCTATAGTAGATGATTATTTTTGTGTTAGCAGCTGCCAGCAGTCTTAATAACAGCTGGAGAAGAATGTGTGTCTATAATCTCTAAGCTTTTACTATGATGATCATATTGGAAGCCATTGTCAAGAGATAGTCCACCCAAAACTACAAGTTCTGTCAACCTTTACTCAGACTTCACTTTCTTCTGCAGGAACGCAAAAGAAGACCATTTGAAGGCTGTTATCATCCATCCACATGGTTAATCAGCTATAGATCGCATACGACTGCAGCCGGAAGTTAACTAGAATTATTAATATTATTTATTAAATTTCCCATTAATTATAACTCATTAATGCCTACCCCTACCTTAACCGTCACAGTAATGTAAAACAGATCTGGACTCTTCTCTATTCGTATAGCTGATTAACAATGTGAATGGGCGATAACAGCCTTCTGAGTGACATTTACTGCTCGGAAGGCCCCTACTGGCCCATATCTATCAACTGATAACCACTGATAAAGCTGATTAAAGCAGCTGACTGGACATGGTGAAACGACATTATTGGACCACACTAACCAGCCAAATGTGGGGTCCCATATGTGACATGGCACTAGACTTTTAGGTATTTTAGAGATGTGTAATAAATGAATGTATGATGTGGTTTTATGTGTCTTTGGCAGCGAGAAGAGGCTTAATCCAAAGCCCGAGAAGAAGCAGAGAAACAGAGGATCGAACGAGAGAAACACTTCCAGAAGGAGGAGCTGGAATGCTTGGAAAGAAATAAGGTAAAATAAAAGTCCACCAATCAAGCTAAACACAGCATCACGCTCTCTCATTCACACACACACATAGGCGTGCTCGCTCGCTCGGGAGTGATATTGTTAGACCGCCTGCTCCCGTTCAAATTACACCAGTTACCGACCGCTCCCATGCTTTATCCGGAAATTAATCCCACGTTGCAATAAATCTGGTTGGGCCCCGCAGACCTCTAATCTGGCATTACGGTGGCTCAGTGGTTAGCACTGTCGCCTCAAAGAAAGAAGGTCACTGGTTCGAGTCCCGGCTGGGTCATTTGGCATTTCTGTGTGGAGTTTGAATGTTCTTAGTGTGTGTGAATGAGTGTCTATGGATGTTTCCCAGTACTGCTTTGCAGCTGGAAGGGCATCCGCTGTGTAAAACATATGCTGAATAAGTTGGCGGTTCATTCTGTTGTTGTGACCTCTGATAAATAAAGGGACTAAACTGAAGGAAAATGAATGAATGAATTTTTAAAAATTGTTAAATATAGCACTTGGGAAATATTTTTAAACAATTTAAATTTCACAGGAGGGCTCAAAATTTTGTCTTCAATTATATTTGAGATTTTATTTCAGTACTGTTGGTTTAACGTTTGTGTTTACATTTTTAGCGTCTGGAAGAAATCCTGAAGAGGACTCATAAGAGTGACGCAGGAGCACACGTGAGATGTGTGTGTGTTTCATTAAGTCTAATCTTAAACACACACAATGAAAGAAAATTAACCTGGTTTATTCATTTCTTTGAATATGACAGCGGTAAAAATCTATTTAAAGTACTGAGAATATATAAAAATCACTCTTTTATTAATATCATGTAAGTAGGGTTAAAATAAAAAAGTACAATGTTGTTTTCCTCTCGTCTTGCAGTAATACAGAAAAATCCGTCAGAAGCTCTTCATACTGGTGCGACAAACCAATCACCAATGAGGTAATCGAGACGCTGCATGAATTGAAATTGAAATGAAGCTGCATGAATTATGTTTTGCTTATTTTCCCGCTTGTGTGTCTTCCTCAGCTCTGTGTCCTGGGACGCAGCACCGGTCATTAACGGAGCTCCGCCCACTAAGCATCAGAATGGACTGTCCTCCAATGGAGACGCTGCAGACTTTGAGGAGATAATCAAGCCGTCCAATCACAGTGGGAACAGTGGGCAGAGTCAACCGGCTGACGACCCAATCATGGCCTTCGAGGGAGGAGAACCGTTCATGATGAAGGCGAGGCCTATGAAACCTCAACATGTGGCAGGTAGAATCAGATTTTGTTCGATTACGTACAGTTGAAACCAGACGTTTACATACACTTTATAAAGAGGCACATCATTTTTTTTTTTTTTAATGAGACTAAACTTATTTTTTTAGGTAAGTTAGGATGATCAAATTTGTTTCTGTTCTGCTTAATAGCAAAATAATGAGAGAGATATTTTTGAGAAATTGTTATAACCTTTCTTGAAAGTCAAGTTTACATACAGTAAGATTATTCTGCCTCTGAAAAAGCTCAGATGATGATGTCAAGCTTTTGGAAGTTTCTGATTGGCTAATTGACAACATTTGAGTTAATTGGAGGCACAACTGTAGAATAGTATTTAAGGAAAACCTCAAACACACACTGCTTCCTTGTGTGACAACATGGGAAAATCAACAAGCCAGAATCAACAAAAAAGCCAGATTACAATTTGCTGAATTACACTGGGAAAAAGAATAATTTTTGGAGACATGTCCTGTGTTCTGATGGAGCTAAGATTGAACTGTTTGGCTATAATGACCAGTGTTACATTTGGAGGACAAAGGGGAAAGCTTACATGCTTATGAACACTATCCTAACTGTGAAGTATGGGGGCGGCAGCATCATGTTGTGGGGCTGTTTTGCTGCAGGAGGGACTGGTCCACTTCACAGCATAGATGGCATCATGAAGAAAGAACATCATGTAGAAATACTGAAGAAACATCTCAAGACATCAGCCAGGAAATGAAAACTTGGCCACAAATGGGTCTTCCAAACAGACCATGACCCTAAGCATACTGCCAAATTAGTTCAAATGTGCTTTAAGGACAACAGAGTGAATGTTTTAAAGTGGCCATCACAAAGCCCTGATCTCAATCCTATAGAACATTTGTGGGCATAGTTGAAAAAGCTTGTGCGAGCAAGACAGTCGACACATCTGATTCAGTTACACCAATTCTGTCAGGAGGAATGGGTTAAAATTCCTGCAAACTATTGTGAGGAGCTTGTGGAAGAATACCCAAAACATTTGACCAAAGTTAAACAGTTTAAAAGCAAAGATTTAAAAAAATACCAAGGAAATGTGTGTAAACTTTTGACTGTCTAGAACACAGGTGTCAAACTCAGTTCCAAAAGGGCCGCAGCTCTGCACAGTTTAGTTCCAACCCTAATTAAACACACCTGATCAAACTAATAGCGTCCTTCAGGCTTGTTTGAAACCTACAGGTAAGTGTGTTGGAGCAGGGTTGTAACTAAACTGTGCAGGGCTTCGGCCCTCCAGGAATTGAGTTTGACACCCCTGGTCTAGAAATTAATAGAAAATTCTCAAATAAAAATCTCTCATTATTCTGGCATTTAGCAAATGTAAATCATTTAGGTTATCCTAACGGACCTAAAATAGTAAACGTTTAGTATCATTTACCATCAGACATTTTTTTAAATGGTTGTGTTTCTTTTTTTAGAGTGTATGTAAACTTCTGGTTTCAGCTGTATGTAAGATCATATATGGATCAAATCTGGGCACCAGTGGAGTTGCTTTTCAGTGTTTCGTCTTTCAGCAGTGACATTTACATTATACTGAACTGAACTAAACTGAACCCAAAATAAAATCTTGAAAATAATGTATAAAGGATGATTAAGAGAGTCTCTAAGCTATTTTCCATGCATGAAACTGATGATTTCTGCAGTTTGTTGATTTTAGGACAGTGTGAATGACTGAAAAAAGCAGCCTTGGCATTCTGCAAAGCGTCTCTATTTTCAGCTTCATAATAACAGTCATAGATGTTGTTGGCAAGCTTTTAATAGTTCAATAAATCATCTTCTCACATGTGTTTCTGCTGTTTTCCTGCAGAGGTGCTGTGAGAGATGAGATATCAGAGTCTTCTGGATATGAAGAGAAGAAGAGAAGCCTTACTCTACCACCGCTTCCACCCAGATGTGTGCCAAACCAACAAAAACAGACTGCTTTAACTTTAGAAACACAGCCGAGCCGGACGCGCTCAGGAGAAAGTGCCAGAAGACGACCTTAAAGAGACACTTATATACATATACAACGTTTGCAAAAAGTCTCTGTCTATTTCAGTGTGTGTGTCATGGTGCAACATTTGTTGAGTTTCTTTAACAAGTCACCTGCCGATCATGTGGTGCACCTTAAAAGAGTCGCTATATATTGAATTTTAGAAAAGACAACTTGGCTTATCTTTATGATATGAATTATTGTTGTTTTTGTTGCTCTTGTTATGATGTATTGTTATCGTTCAAGTAGAGAAAAAAAGCAAACGTGTGTCTTGAACTATTGCGTTATTTAACGTGTGGCGCATCAGAAGAGGCCGATATTCTGTATGTTAATGTATATTTGCCTGATTATGACAGACCTGTGGAATAAATCTTTATGAAAGGGGCTGTTTGTCAGTGAGTGGAGTGTTTGCTGTAATTTAAGCTAATCGTAATAATGTGATTTTTATTTTAGTCTGGCTATATCATGATGGTAGAACAGTGCTTTATAATAAAAATAGGAATTCCTTACATTTATATAGCGCTTTTCTTGGCACTCAAAGCGCTTTACACATAGGGGGAATCTCCTCATCTACTTTTTTTTTTTTTTTTAATGCAAGAAAGAACATTACAAAGATATAATATGAACAAAGAGACAAAGAGGGTTACATAAATAGAATTCCAGCAAATTAATCAAGTTTAAATGATTTACACCAAGAAAGCGTTTTACATGCAGTGTAATTATGACTGTTTATGACTGTTCCAGTTACTATGACCATTTATGTGAAGCTGCTTTGACACAATCTACATTGTAAAAGCGCTATACAAATAAAGCTGAATTGAATTGAATTGAATTGAATTGTAATTGTTAGAGTCTTTTAAAGAGTTCACATAAATTTCAAAGTCCTTTCTGAAAATAAAAAAGTAAGGGTATTTCTTTTAAAATTAACATTTATGGAAGTAAAACTTTGCTATAAAAAAACAATAAATCAATAATAAATTTACAATGAGAAGGATCTACACTCAGAGAGTAACCAAAGAATACAATTTTGGGGAAATACAGAAGTTTGGAAATAAGAATTTTTTAATGAAATTGGAAAAGTCAACCCAAAACATTTTACAGTAAGTACACTCTCAAAATAAATGCTTTAGTGTTTCATCATATTGAGTACAAAATGAGCATTTAGAGGAAATATTATTAAATTTAGCTAGTTTGGTATTTATTGGGTAGCAATCTCCTCATCTACCACCATTGTAGCATCCACCTGGATGAAGCGACAGCAGCCGTTTTCCACCAGACCGCACACCACAGAGAGAGAAGACAGAGTATTAAAGCCATGATGGACAGAGGCCAGTGGGTAAATTTGGCCAGGATGGTGGTGTTAAACCCGTACTCTTTTTCGAAAGATATTCTGGGATTTTAGGGTATATGCTGAAGCATGCTAAAAGGACATTTAATTTGTCAGTAACCTGGGTTAAGCGCTTCCAGCAAACTGCCAAAGGGAAAATCAGCATGTTTAAGGTCTGTTTTCTTTAAAAATCAGCGATCTCCACTGGCTGAGTGATATCCGATATGAAGTGGGTCTCGATTGTACAAGAAGCACTGCATTAAATTACATTTCCCCCGCCATGTCTTTATAATATGAGCATTTATTTTACCTCATTGTATTCAATGGAGCATCTGCGCTAGTCTGCCGATTCTGACGGGCGAGTGCGAGTAAAGGGTCTTTTGTCTCGTTTTACGCTTGAAAAACTAAATGAATGCCAAAGTTTATTTAACTGAATGTATTTTAATTGCATCACAACATCAATGCTGTAAAAGGAACCGTATAAAATGGAAAAAAACTCACAACAACCGGTCACCGGAAGTTTATAAGTATGGGAACAACACTAGCTCGGCATATATCCAATTATATTCATCTGTCTCGATATTCTACTGCATGTCAGAATATTACAGAGCACCAAAAATGTAAAAATATATATTTATTATATTTAAGATATTTTTGTCAACAGCAGACGGCAACTAGCCGTGACGCAAATTCCCGAGTCTCTGTGCTCCAATCACGTGAGCCCTCCTCAGCGCTCGCCATGACAACGAGACAACAGTGACGTGCCTTGTAAAAATTTGCATATGCATTCCTATAAAGCTCGTGTGCTCTCAGTCAGCGTTGTCAGTTCGCCCGGTGTAGCTGTTTGTACTTGACCAAGGTGAGTTCAATACCGACGGTACGAGTGGAGCTACGCCAAACTCACGAAGTCCGCTTCGTGATGCTTCACCCGGGCCCGTCTGTGCTGTAGTTCCTTGCGGTTTGCGTACATAAACGCAATATCGCGAAGAATATTACGTGTTTGTTGCTCGAAATGTGCCGCCGAGCAACATCCAGTGAATACTGGCACGGCCTGGCGCCCGGTCTTTTCCGTGCACTCCCTGGGGCGAGGCGGCCTTTGAGCCCTAG